GAGAGAGAGAGAGAGAGAGAGAGAGAGAGAGAGAGAGAGAGAGATGCCATAAAAGGAGACTTGCCGAAAATACTCCTATCTTACCACCACCCCTTCCGCTCCCTCGATGTTGGTAGTCTCCGCACACGTCGTGACTCGGATGAAAGACATGACGTGTTGATGCGCCTTTCTCCATTGATCCGCCCTGACCTCATGTTCAACGATGGTTTCTCGCGGCGTTTGTTAGAGTTCCTGGCTAACGCAGCCGGAGAGGATGTCGTTGCCGGCATCCGCACCCCGCAGCCCTTGGAGGAGATGGCTCAGAAGTGGCCCGAGGTGTATGCCGAGCTTTTCAAGTACCAGGAGCAGCTCGAGAAGTACTACGGCGACATGCAGGTTTTGTTTGTTGTTGATAGTGTGCTTGAGGCTGTTCCGCTCGTTCGCATTTGGGTCTCGCTATCTGTGGTTTTACTACTGACGTGCCTCGCTGCTATTCAGTGATTCGGGCACCGCCACGCATACCGGTGGGATCCTGGACTTCTACTTGCTCGTCACGTAGTACCCGACAAGTACCGCTGCTGTTGATGTTCAGCACCATGCACACAGTCTCTCTCTGACCAACGCGGAACATGATCCCCCGGTGTACTACCTTCCAGGACATTGAGTTCACTGTCGAGAACGGACGGCTGTACATGCTCCAGTGCCGCAACGGGAAGCGCACGGCGAAGGCCTCGGTGAAGATCGCCGTGGACATGGTGAAGGAGGGGACGCTGTCGGCGCAGGAGGCCCTCCTCCGCATACCGGCAAACCAGATGGACTTCTTCCTGCACCCCACGCTCGACCCGAAGGCCAAGAAGGTGCACTCACGGTTGTTGTCGGTGTGTTTCGTCTTCGTCTCTGTTCGTGCTACGAGTGGTAGCGGTTGTGATGGTGTGGTGTTGCAGTGATTCGTGCCGGAGCTGTTTGGGTGTTGGTGTCGCCGTTATCTGAAATGGACGTGGGTGTTTGCCGCCTCTCTACCCGCGGGGCGACAGCGCGTTTCATTTGTCTATCCTTCGTCATCGCGGTGCTTTTCCTCGTTCTCGACGCGGCACACATGCTCCGGGAGCAAATCCCAAGCCGGTTCCGTTCAATTGCCCACCCACGAGCAATGGTTGTCTTCCCCTTGAACAGTGTATCCCACCTTGACCCTCCATTTGTTTTTTTCCCAAAAAAAAACTCGTCCCACGCGGAAACCGCATCGCCAGACGCTGATCGGGGAGGGGCTGCCGGCGTCCCCGGGAGCCGCCACGGGCAAGATCGTCTTCACGCCGGACGATGCCGAGGCCATGGCCAACCTCGGGCAGGACGTGATTCTGGTCAGGAAGGAGACCACGCCGGAGGACATCCACGGGATGAAGTCTGCCCAGGGCGTCCTGACGGCACTCGGCGGCATGACCTCGCACGCCGCGGTGGTGGCGCGCGGGATGGGCAAGTGCTGCGTGAGCGGGTGCACGGCGGCGGAGGTGGACATGAAGGCCAAGACCCTCACGGTGAGCTGTTGCTGTGTATATGGTCGATGTTTCCTTGGGGTGTTGTTGGAATGTGGATGTTGTGCTTTGTTAGTGCCGAAGTTGTTGTCGCTGTTGAAGTTGTTCCTGCTGCAACTCTTCACCTTAGAATGGTCTCAGGATTTTCTCGCGTGTACTATGCCGGGCCCCACGATAGCTTACCCGGCGGCCAACCCGACCGGTTGTCCAAACCCAATTTCGTGCGTTTTCCTGCGTCGTGCGAACCTATCGCGCGCTGAGCCAAGTCTCCTCGCCGGCACCCCTTGCCTCTTGCCGCGTTACAGCTTGGCGAGAACAAGCTCAAGGAGCACGACGTTGTCACAATCGACGGCAGCACCGGAGAGGTGTACCTCGGCACGGTGGACAGGCGTTCCGCCGCCGAGGACGAGGACTTCCAGGCCGTCCTCAAGTGGGCAGACGACATTCGCGAGCTCAAGGTGCGATGGAAAGGTTGAGAACGTCGCTGGATTGCGGTCCCGGAGAAAACGTGTTCGCAACGTGCTTGATACGCGCAGAGCGCGTGCTTTCTTCTTCATTGCGTAGGATCTACGTTGTGGTTCTAGGCCATCGTTGCGAGGAAGTTCGCGCCGGTGCCCTCGACAGCGCACACTTTGTACTCAACACGTTGCCGCTCCTCGTCCTCCTCGTCCTCGTCCTCCTCCCTCGCCGCCGCCGCCGCCGCCGCCGCCATAACTGCCACCGTCGGTCCAGATCCTGACCAACGCGGACACGCCCGAGCAGGCCGCCACCGCCCGTGGCCTCGGCGCGCAGGGGATCGGCCTGTGCCGCTCGGAGCACATGTTCTTCGCGCCGGAGCGGATCTCGGCGATGCGCGCCATGATCGTGTCGGAGAAGAAGGCGGAGCGTCTCGAGCACCTGGAGACCATGGCCGCGTTCCAGAGCGAGGACATCTCCTCGATTCTCAAGTTAGTTTTGCTGCACGGAGGGGTGGTTGCTTTTTTCGTGGGGGTGGTCGTGTGTGTGTGTGTTTTCTTCGAGGCGTTCCTCTCTACCAACCTCTCACAGATGACCTTCACGGTAAGTATTTTTTTGGTTTAGCGAGGTACCCCGTGTCTGGTACCCGATGTTCCTCGAAACCTTGAGCGAAAGAGCTTGATCTGGATGAACCTTTCCCATGAACGCACCCCCCTGGGCTCCAGGGAAATGGACGGCTTGCCGGTGACCATGCGCCTTCTCGACCCTCCTCTTCACGAGTTCCTTCCCCACTCTCATGAAGAGATGCAGGTACGAAGTGCGTGTGCGCCAGCGGTGTCGCCTTGGTTATCCCGGAATTTTGGTTTCGATTTGCTGGCCTACCTGCTGCTGCTTCGTGCTTGCGTGTGTCAGCTATTGATTAACGTCGACCGCGCCGGCTGGCTTGACAAAAGCAAAACGTCATTGTCAGCGGGCCAAAGTGTGTTATGCGCACGTAAGACGATGGTGGGATGCACTCGTGGCGGACTTTCCTGTCATCAACACCTGTGTCTTCCTGTCTATTTCCCTGGTGGTTAGTTCTTTGCACACGGCCGTGGGTCTGAATCGAAGGCTTTTGGGGGTTTAATCCTACCGTAGTCGCCGTTTTGCGAACGACCACCGTCACTTTAACAGGCGATCTTCCGTACAACAACACCACCAGCGGGATTCCGGATTCAGGCAATAATTTCATTTGCGTGTCAAGTCCTATTTTCACATACCACAATTAGAACATCACGATCTGAAACCGTCCCCCCAACTCCCACCATTATTTCTTCATCCCCGTCCTGTGCGGACTCCATCATCGGAACCCCTCGGCAGTCCCTCGCGGACACCGTCGGTAAGCCGCTTTCGGTGGTCAAGGACCGCGTGGCCCAGCTGCAGGAGGTGAACCCCATGCTCGGGTTCCGAGGCTGTCGGCTGTCCGTGGTGTACCCGGAGATCACGGAGATGCAGGCCCGGGCGGTCGCCTCCGCTGCCGCCGCCAACAAGAAGGTGCCGAGCTACGAGCGGTCTACAGGAGTGTCGTGTTGCCGTTGTGGATAACGAGAGATCGTGTTCTTTTTTTACATGTTGTTGCTGTGTGGAAGAAGGACGTCTTCGGGGTGCAGGAGAGGACGGTCGCCAGACTCACCGTGGCGCCGGCGGTTGGTGTCATCGTCACCACGTCGCTCCCACGCGTGTTATAAAGCGACGGTTCAAGGCGCGACCAAGGCAAACAGCCGATGTCAGCGCGAATGCAAGCAAGTAGACGACGTCAGAGCAACGGGCGACCACAGTAGAAAGAGCAGCGAGCGACTACGCGTTCAATTTCCCCGGGTGCTCTGTTTCATACGTAGCCGCTAGGTGCTCTGATTGATCGAGACTCCAGTGCTTTGCACACCGATTAGGGTCTGGGCGTGAACCCCGATTGGCGTTCGTCGCTTCATCGCATCAGCGTTCATGACTGCACCCACTGCCTCACCAGTGATGGCAGAGGCGGAAGGGGAGCGGGTACCCGAGGCCGTGTCATGCTTCCCCCCTTGACTGCGTGGTCTTTGCCCGTGATGCCATGACTGTTGTCTCTCGTTCAATCCCTGTGCATGGACATCTGTCTCGGCATCTTGATCGTTCGTGAGTCGTTTCCGTTCGTTGATTCCTCGGCAAACAACGATTCCAATACAACATCCGCGCATCTTTCTGCTCTTTTGGGTTCACCTTGGCCAGGCTGGGCTAGACCCCAAGCCGGAAATCATGGTGCCGGTGGTCTCAACCGCGAAGGAGCTGAGGTTAATCGTGCCGCGGATCCAGGCCGCCGTCGCAGACGAGCTCAAGAAGGCCAACGTAGAGGTGGGCCAAGTGTTAAGGGTACGCTGTTGTTCGAGAATTCGCGTGCACTAGTACGTTGTTTTCGGGTTGGATTCACGGTATTATGGCGAAGGTTTCAAGGCCGCCGTCATTCACTAGCTGCGTCTAGTTTGCGATTGTACGATATCTCAGAGTGTTATGCTCGTGGTTTGCGAGGGGGGTTTCCGACAATTATTGGTGCGCACAAGTGTTGGATGAGTGCGCCTGCTCCTCCCTGGAAGGTGCGGCGGTTGTTGGTGTTGCTGTTGTTGTTGCTGATGGCGGTGGCGTTGTCGACGTCTCTTCTCGTGCCTTCCCTGGTATACCCAAGCCCGTCTCCTTCATGCACTGGTCCGTCCGGGAGCAGACGACTGCCTTGGTTTGCACATTTCTGCACAAGCAAAGTTCTCAAGCTTGAGGAAAAGCATAGCTTCTCATTGAACAGGCGAGCGCGACTTGCTCCAGTATACGATGATGATGGTTATGTCGAAAAGGTCAGAAGGAGACGAAACAAAGGGTGGCCTAACGTGAGCATGGTGCTTATGACAGTGACGATAATACTTATATGGTGCTCGGCCTATACCGTTGACCGCTGCTGGAGCGTTTCCTCGTGATGATGAAATGGGCTTTGGTGACCGCAGCATCATCAACTCCGCCTGACACATGTCAGGCTCAAGATCGTCAAACCTTCGCCATTGCTCCTCTCCTCTCGCGGACCTGTATTTTCGTTTGGCCACAGCTGGACATCCCCATTGGCACGATGATGGAACTCCCTCGAGCGTGCGTGACCGCGGACGAGATAGTGGGCACGGAGGGCGTGGAGTTCATGAGCTTTGGCACAAACGTGAGTAAGGGTTGGTTTTGTCGTACAGTGGTCGTCGTCATGGTCGTCGTCGTCGTTGTTGTTGTAGTTGTAGTTGGAGTAGACCAAACGGCATCCCATTTCGCTGCTGCATGCAGTTCTGCTGCATGCAGTTCTGCTGCATGCAGTTCTGCTGCATGCAGTTCGAAGAACACCGTTGTTGGGCGACTTCGGAGGAAGTTGGAATAACTGCTCCGGCTTTCGACAAGGTGGCACTGCCAATCCGTGGTTTTAGCGACGGCAACGGCGGGCCTGTCGCAAGACAAGTACATTCGTTGAGGGTCATGCCTACGACGCTTCCTGCGTTGCTTGCGGTTCATGCTGGCCACATGGACGGCGCGTACCTCGACACCCGTGTCTCGACGAGCGCCGTTACCGGGAGGGAGTGGCTTGCTTCCCTAGACCCGTGGTGTCCGCTGGTCAAGGTTGTGCAGCTCCAGGTCTACGAAAACAATTTTTCAGACGAAGAGATGTCGCAATCGTGATGAAAGAGGCCGCTCAACGAGATGCCACGAGGGTTTGTACCGCACACTGCCCAGGCCAGTAGTGAGGGGTCCTCACGTACATGTTGGCGCACCAGCGACGCCTATTGGCCAGGTTTTGACCGTGGCAAACAAGGCGGCGCGATCTTGACAAACGTCTCCCCGGTTGTCGAGGGGTTCAGGCAGCACTAGCTGGGTTGGAAGTGATCGCCTCGCCGAGCCATCGCCACTTCGAGACTAGCGATGCATTATCCTGTAATAATTTTGCTTGCTCCCCGACCGCCCCCGCCCCACACCGACCAACAGCGAGAGCCAACAAGAGAGCTGGACAACAATGATGGTATTCCATTGCTCCCCACCCCCTTCTATCAACAAGTAGCACACACAGCGAAGAGCTCCATGTACCTCATGTTGACTTTTGTCTTTTGTCACGATCCCTACCCCGAACTGAATACGCTTCCACCGCAGGACTTGACCCAGAGCGTGTGGGGGTTCTCCCGTGACGATGCCATCAAGTTCATCGGCCGCTACCAGGAGCAGGTGCGCTTCGTCGCCGTTGTTGTCGTTGATGTCTTGTTGACGTTTCTGAGACATTCGAGGAAGTTCTTCAATTTGCATGTACCATAGTATAGCGAGGTCCAAAGTGGCGTAGGTGCATTAGAGGGCCCCCAGAAGGACAAGTAGAAGTGCTCTCAAATCGAAAGGGTCGGTTCTTCTTGGGGCCTTTCTCCGACGATTTCATGCACACGTCCTTGTTCAATATCGCTTCATCCGACTCGCGCCGTGATTCACTATCATTGTGAGGCACAGCAGTATTGTGGTTGTTCGTGGGTGGCCCTGTTTGCTTCCTCTTCATGGTAGTGAGGATCTGTTGTTGGTACTTCCAATAATCCCGGCTTCTCTCCTGCAATAGGTGTCATGTCGCCTCGAGGTTATGAACTTCTTTGGTCGTGTCTCTCTCTCCCTCTCTCTCTTCAAGTCTGTGTCTGTCTGTCTGTCTGTCTGTCTGTCTTGTCTGTCTGTCTGTCTGTCTGTCTATCTCTCTCTATATATATCTCTTCGTCTCGATGCTTTCTGCAATGCTCTCTCGCCATCACAGGGTTTGCTGGACTTCGACCCGTTCGCGCGCATCGACGAGGAGGGCGTCGGGAGCGTGATCAAGATCGCGCTAGAGAAGGCCCGCGCCCAACAGCCAGGGACCAAGGTGACCTATAACAGATCCGAACACCACAACCCCTCCCCCCCCCCCCCCCCCCCCCCCCCCCCCCCCCCNTGCATCTGACAGTTTTTTTTTTTTATCTTTGGTTGTCCTTATTTTCCACCAACTTCCCACCCCCTGCACGTATGTGTTTGCCTGCAACACAAGGTGGGGATCTGCGGCGAGCACGGCGGCGAGCCAAAATCGGTGGGCTTCTTCCACTCGCTCGGGTTCGACTACGTCTCTTGCAGCCCCTTCCGCGTGCCCATCGCCCGCATCTCCGCCGGCCAGGCCGCGGCCCAGAGCATGCTCAAGAAGAGCGCGGGGGACCGCCTGTACCGCTCCTCTATCACGAACGTAAAGCGGGCGGGCAAGAAATCCGACTGAGTCCGTCCGCAGTTCCATGTTTTTGGCCCTGAAAAACATCTTGTTCCCCAAGGCGAAAAACATCAACCGTTTTTGGTAAGCTTCTGGGAGCAACGAAGGAGTCGGATCGGACCGATCCAGACCAACCGGACAAGGCCAGGCGTTTCGCCTTTCGCGCGTGTCGGTCAGGATGGGAGCCTCACAAGGTTCCTCCGCCGATAACCCTGAAACCTCGTGACGGTGCTGTTCTTGGTTCATTCTGTCAATTTGATGCCCATCGGCTGGCCGAGTAGCAAAGTGCCTCCTCCCGTGGGTTGTTGTTTTGTTGCGGAGGTGCCAGAGGGTGCCAGTTAGACTGGCCAAATGTCGACGAAGCGTCGCAAGCCCCGGGCCTGTTCCCATGTCACAGCAGGATCAGCAGTTGGTTTCCTGCGAGCTACGTGGAACGACTAATCCCGTTCGCTGTCATTGGCCTTGAAGCGAGCTGGAACAACAAGAATGGAGAATGAAAGAGGATTGGAACCAGAATAATTTCGTTGGGGGTTGTGTTTCAGAAGTTAGTGATGGCGTTTTGTTTTTCGAGCACGGGTACGAGGTTGCTTGTCTGGATTCGGTCGGTCGGGTGATTGTCTCCCACTTATTTTTCATCTCGTGGGTAGGCTTCACCTCATCCTAACTGGGAGGGCAAGGTTTTGTATAGAGGCCCTTTTGTATGTCTCGAAAGTGTAGCAAGGGAAGGTGGAATGGGGGATCATCTTCGACGGTCACATTCAACGGAAGTTTCAGAAGACGCGTGTACCATGGTGTATATTTGCTGTACAAGTCATCTCAATCTGAGCTTATGAGCCCATCCGTATGATGCTTGTACATATACTGGTTTTTAGGCATCGCTGCCCTCGAGTAATTGTACATTTTACTCTTCATAGAGGACAGGGCGAGAGGCGTCCGTAGCACCCCCGCACCTGGTTGCCTCCGTCGATTGCGTGAACGGGGGCGTCGAACGGAAGCGAAAAGGTGGCTTTTTAGTTTTGTTGTGTGATTTGGTCCTATTCACATGGCTGTTTCACTTTTGATAGCGCGACCACCTCCGGGGCCGGTCGGAAGAGGTGGCAGAAGGCCCACCGTATCTTGTACAGTGGAGGGTTGTACGAAAGCATGCCCATTTTCGCGAGGAACGAAGCGGTAATCTACGGAGAGAAAACAGTGGTTGGGGGTGCGGAGGACAGTGGTGATGTTATTTGCTTGTGTTCCCGGGAGATGACTCCCCACTGCCTTTGGGCAAGGGGAGGTGGCGCGGTTTTAGGCCTACGGCGCCGTCTGGTTGGAGGTGGATCAGTGAATCAAGACGCCCCAACCCGTGCAGCACTCGAAAAGGAAAGGGAAGATTGAGCGGAAATGGTTCCATGTAGATTCTGCACCTCGGGCATGCGTGTGTTTATCATCGGCCGAAGCCGGTTGAAAGACAATAGTCGTCATCGCACATTCACTGTCCCGAGAGATGCGAGCCCTGTGTCTTCTCCCTACGGTAGGAAGGCTTCGAAGAGTTTTCGGTTTGGCTTTTGTGATTTCCGTACGTATTTTGTCGTATTTCTTTCCGCGGAGAGTTGTACACACGAACACACACCATAGATGGCACAATCATAAATGGCACAATGAAAGTAGAAATAAACATCACATCTTCTACTGTAGACCAAACTTGAACTCCCGATTACTCCTCCCTTCGTGAGAAGACACATTACTGCTGTATCAATGAGAACAAGAGAGGAGGAAGTATCCCTTCCCCCAAGACGACAGGCACAGTGCGAAGGTGTACCAATTTCTGGTAAAATGTCAATCGACGGATACCCTGCGAGTCGGGTTATGAACACTCTCCACCCACAGCATTCCCCCTCCATCAACTGGGAACTCGTGTGGCCAGCAAGGGTTTTTCTGTAAATACTCTTAGTCTATGCATGCGAAGGCGCACCGACGCGTTATTCTTGTACATACAACAGTTCAGGTGTGAAGAGGAGTGTTGCCGTAGGGCATACTAGTCTATAGATCGGGTACATCTTGGTCTAGCATAGGATGTGGGATGGCCGGGAGGTGTACCTGACGTATCAACCGGGGTCACACAAGAGGGAGGTAGCACAGGAGGTTTCGACTATATTTTGTATGCATACAACGAATTCATCTCTAAATTATGTATGGATATATTCTACAGCGCATTTCATAGACTAGTCTAGTCTCCATGCAAGCTAGGCTCTTTCCTTTTGTTTTTTGGCCCCACCTCCCCCCTGCGGTGCTTGCCTTAGTCTTTTTGGCGAGAAGGGTTTAACCATTACTGTACCTCTAACACATACAACAGCATATAGCTGCCTTCTCTACCGGAGAGCTACAATGCGAGGTCTAGCTAGTCCAACCCTCCCTCCAATATGGTGTATTTATGCCTCGCCCGTCACGCCGCCTCCGTCGGCAGGGTGGTTCTCTCCCCACAACCGATTTTGTAACTCTGTCCAACCGCGTCATATCCGTCCCTGGATGCAGCTAGATACCTTCAGAGTGCGGGGTGCGAGGGCGACCCTACAAACAAGGCGGTCACAGGTCGTGATGCGACGAATGCCCACTTGTTTTGCACACAGCCAGCACTTGTAGTGGGAGCCGGCGGAAACCGAAACCGTGACAACCGTTACCGTTTCACGTTTTGTGCGGGGGAACGTTCTAGGGATTCTGGGATTCTTCCAACTTCCAACTTCCCACGTACCCCGGGAACCAGGAACATTCCGCCGCAGTTTTTTCTCGCGCATGCAGAGTGTGGCACGGGAGGCAAAGGGGGGAGGCCAACAACTTCACACCGCTGCTGCTGTTTGCTGTATCACATCACTGTTCTGTTTTCGGGAAGGAGTCTGAGGAAGGAGCTACAACACTGGTGAAAGTGTGCAGCTACATATTCCGTGTCGAATCCCGATAACCCCCCGGTGCCTGCTTTTGGCGCATCTCATCCGTCGCAGGTGAAAAGAGAGGTGGGTAGGGTCATGAATTTTCCGTAGTACAACCAGAGAGCTAGACGCGTTCGCCTCTCTATCCCTGCCACAATGATGTGATTGAATGCTCGCAGTTCAGGGGTTCACGAATAAGCCGTCCGCGGAGTCGTCGGCTTACTCCTTGTGCGGTTCGCTGCGGGTACGTACCGAACACTTTGACTTCTCACACATGGTGCATCAACAGCAGCGGTATGCGCTCAATATCATCGTATCGCCCGCTCAACGCCTGCCTTACCGCCTACTGCTGTAGAAGCAGCGCTGACAAGAATTGCTGCGCCATTCGCTGGTGCATCATTTATCGTAGGAGCCAAGCTTGCTATGGAGCCAATAAGACGCGGCTTGCCTCACAGAGGTTGCCCCCGAGGCACACACTCAGACGCATGCGCAGATCACAATTTATGCGGCGCGACTTTTCCACCCAAAACGGCTCTTTGTCCTCGCTGTTTGTTTCGTTGGGCGTGTGCGACGAGGCAGGATTCCCTTACCAGCAGGTGTTTGTTTATTTTTATCTTCTACTTGTGCCCTTCTTCCCCTCGCTGCCTCGGCAAGGTTTTGCTCAGGCATGATCCATAGCGAGGGGGGGGGGGGTACTCATAGTGGTGCATGCCGTAGTCGTTAGACCATTGACCTCGCATCCCTACAGCGACGGGACGGAGCACGCCGGGTTCTCACCGGACCCGGCTCTCACATCACCGTTGTTGGTATACCATAATCGACTTCGCAAGTCGCGAGGGAATGGATTGCTGTACCCTTCTCGCGATAAAAATACCTCAGGCAGGAACCGCAGGAGGGGGTCCAGCCCCCCCCTCCTATGTGACCCCGGTTGGGTCGTCTAGCTGGTAGAAGTGGAGGATAGGGGCCAGAGGGGCAGACGACAGAGTCCAATGATGGAGAAAAAATAGAAAAAAATCACCAAGCGCGAAGGGCCATGAGGTATTCGGCGAGTCGCATGGAAGGGTGCGCTGCATCCTCCTAAGGGTGTTAGGCATCTTGTGCTTTCTTCCTTGCGTACGGATGATAGCTGCGTATGACTTACTTTACTTTCTGGTACTTGGGGGGGGTCTTTCTAGCGAGTAGGGCTAGACTCACCCTCAATGGACCGATACCTTCTTGCTATGGCGCACCCGCCGCGAGGCATGCGTAGTGGTGGAGTTGGGCCGGCGCTGGTTCTTCAGGTACAAAAGGCTTTGGTTGGTTGTTCTTCTTCATGGTAGACTATGTCCACGGACTCATTCTGACAGCACTTCAGACAGCAGCTGCATGCCCCGAGCTTGTTGTGTACCATGCACCATGGTGTTGTATTGTACAAACAGCACTTCAGACAGCAATACGGTGTAGTCGACAAACATCAAGATTCATTTTGGTTCAGTGCGGGACAAGGGGGGTGATGCTGCTGCTGTAGTCGAATTGTAGTGGGTGGGCGTGTAGTTCAGCTGTAAGCACGCAAACGTGCTGCAGGGATTGTAGGTGTACCTTCTCGGGCTCTTGTACCCTTGTCTTGCTAATAGTGTGTGTGTTCTTAAGATCTTTTGATGGCTCTAGCATGCTTGTGACCACGGGCCGATTCTTTGCCAGATTCTGGGATTAGCAACTGACACGAGTTTAACGTGAAGAAAACAACAAAGTAATTACGACGCAACGAATCCATCTCTATCTATGAGTCTAAGCTAGATTAGCAATTAATTCATAGCGTCAGAAATATATGTATGCATACATTATCCTACATGGGGCGGCGGGTGTTTGAGGTTCGGTTGTGTTGTGCCTTGAATTGTTTCTGGCGCAATCGCGTTATGGCTACTTGCAGTGTCTGTGCATCCCTTCGACTGTTGTTGTGATATTATTTCCAACGGGTAAATGTTTTTTTCTGGTTTGTATTCAAGTTTCGTAAGTAATTTTTGTCTGTGCATTAATAAAACGCCGGCCTCTGCTCAGCTATCCATGGAGTATCCACACCGGTCTAACTGAAGCAGACGGCTTCCGGGTCCCAGGCCAATGACTGACCGCTCACCACGTACAACGCACGTATTACGTTTTTTTATTTTTCTCGATCGCACAACCTTGACCTTCTCTCACCCACCAGCTGACTGCTGACGATGACGTGGGATTGATCTCGCCACAGCGGTCACACGAACACTGGGAATTTATTTCATTATTTCTCGAACATGCGATAGGAGAGTTGTGGAGATCGATAACCTCTGTGTGTACTCAGATATTCGACTTTACGGTCGACGAGGGAAAGGACCAGCGGCTGAATCTTCCCGCGACAAGGGTTAATTAATCAATTAAGCAAGGCAAGCACAGAGAGCGGAGAAAAAACTCCCGTGTCGCCTTCTCCGGTGTGAGGCTGATGAGGCGTAAGATTACCGACGTCCAGAATAAACTGGATGACAAGAAAAGAAAGACGGCGTACCAGTCGGGGTCACACTGTCCTTTGTATTGCCTTTGGCCTCTGTGCTGTGTTTCGTTTTTTCATGTCCTGCCTGCCTACTCTGCTGTGTTGGGTACCTTGATCTCGCATTTTGCTGTTGCTTTTGTTTTTTGTACTTGTGGCTGTCTGCCCATCTGCCGCCTCTTTGTCCTGTTTGCTCCGTTACTCCCATGCCCTGGTGTGTAGTGCCTGGTGCTTGTACGCTACCCTTTGATTTTTTCTTTAGGCGGGTGTGGGAAGCGTCCTCCTTTATTTTTGTTTTTGTTTGATTTTTGATCGGTTTCCGAGGGCTCTTACCTCGGTCGGTCGGTGCGGTACCTGTTGTTTTCTTTTGATCATTTTGTTTTCTTTTTCCGGGTGGCTTGTATCCTATTTTGGTTGTGTTTCCCCGCGGCGTCGTATGTGCCGGGTTGTGAGACCACGGACTCCCCATTTTTTGTGTGGACAATAGAGCTAATAAGGGTTCCCAATAAGGGTGTGAGCTACCTCGGACCGATGGAAGGGGTTGAACCTTCTCTCAACTGTAGGGACAGAGGAGACTTCCGGAGCGATCGGTGGGGACCGCTGGTGACAGACAGCGGGACAGAGTAGTTTCTCTAGGAAGAGCCAGTGGTGGTCTCTGGGAAGAGAGGGAAAGGGAAAAGAGTGAGAGACGAGGGGGGAGGCGAGGTGTGCACAGCGCACCGATCCTCAGCCCTGTCGACGCAGAACCAGCCTGACGTGGCGCAGTCTGCGCTGGCGTGNTACAGACAGGCAATGTTTTATTCTTTCCAAAACGCGCCCTTAAGTGCGGTCCCTGCCGTCGCATTTTGACGCGAGGTGAAGGGTGCAACAGCAGTCCTTGCCTCACCAAGAAAGTAGTCGCTTTCCGGCCTGAAGTTGCAATTCAAGGGTGTGTTTAGTAGAGTAGAGTATTTTGAGTAGAGTATCGACAGTCGTACTAAAGGTTTAGTAGAGTAGAGTATCGGGAGTAGTACTAAACCTAATAGTAGGTCGAGTAGAGTATCGAGA